TTTTTTATAATTTCAAAAAAATCATTGTTTCCTTTTTTTTAAAAATAGGGTTATAAGGTTTGAAAAATCCTACAACCTTTTTTTTTTTTCTTTTTTTTTTTTGCCTATTACGTTTTATGGGAAAAATCTGTGAAAAACGTGGCTGTGGTGCGGCCGACCTCAGCCGCGACCGTGGGGGATACATAACGCTTCTTTGCTCCACTCTACTTCACCCTACTCTACCCACCTTACTCTACTGTACTCTGCTCTACTCTACTCTACTCTACTATGAGAAACTCTACAACACTCTACTCTATGACACGGTGCTCTACTATACTCGACGACATTACAATGTTCTCTACTCTACTCTACGACACACTACTTTACTCTACTTCACTCTACTGTACTCTACTCTACCCACTCTTCTTTACTCTACTCTACTCTACTCGATGTCACTCTACTCTACGACAAACCACTCTACTTTATTTTAGGACACTCTACTCTCCTCTATGACACTCTACTCTAATCTACTGGACGATACTCTATTGTAGTCTATGACACTCTACTTCACTCTACGACACTCTACAACACTCTACAAAACTCTACACTACTCTACTCTACTGTGCTCTACTTAACTTTACTCTACTCTACTCTACTCTACTACACTCTACTCTACGACACGCTACTCTACTATACTTTACTCTACTCTACGACACTCTACAATACTTTACTCTACTATACTATACTCTAGTTTACTATGATATTATACTCTACGATACTCTCCTCTCCTCTACGACACTACTGTAATCTACTCGATGACACTCTACGACACTCTACTCAACTTTATGATAATCTACTCTACTCTACTTTACTCTACTCTGAGACAATCTTCTCTACGATACTCTACTCTACGACACTCTACTATAGTCTACTCTACGACACTTTACGACACTCTACGACACTACTCTACTCTATGACACTGCAATATACTCTACTTTTCCCTACTCTACTCTAATCGACTTTACTCGACTTTACTCGACTTTATTGTACGATACTCTACTCCACTCTAGTCTACTCTACTCTACTGGACAACACTCCGCTCTACTCTACAACACTTTACTTTAGGACACCCTGCTCTTAAGCTACTCTACGACAGTCTACTGTACTCTACAACCCTGTATAACACTGTACTCTACAACACCTTACTTTACTCTACGACACTATACTCTACTCTGCTCTACGCCACTCTACTCTACTCTACTTTACTCTACGACACTGTATTTTACCTCACTCTACAATACTCTACGACACTCTATGATACTCTACTCTGCTCTCCTGTACTCTATGACACTCTACTCAACGACACTCCACTCTTTTCTACTCTACGACGTTGTACTCTACTTTACTCTACTCCACAATATTATACTATACTCTTCTCTACTCTACTGTATGACAAATCTACTCTACTCCACTCTACTCTACTCTATTGTACGATAATGTACTTCGATACTCTACTCTACTCTATGACACTTTACTCTTCTCTACGACACTCTACTGTAATCTACTCGACGACACTCTTAGGCTACTGTAATCTACTCGATGACACTCTACACTCTACTCCACTGTATGACACTATACTCTACTCTACTCCACTGTATGACACTATACTCTACTTCATTGTACTTTACTCTATTCTACTCTACTCTACTCTACTCGACTCTACTCTACTGTACTCTACTCTACTGTACTCTACTTGACTCTACCCTACCCTACTCTACGATACTCTACTGTACTCTACTATACTTTACTGTACTCTACTCCATGATATTTTATGACACTCTACTCTACTCTACTCGACTCTACTCTACTCGACTCTATTCTACTCCACTCTACTCTACTCTACTCTACTCCACTCTACTCTACTCTACTCTACTCTACTCTACTCTACTCTACTCTATGACATTCTATGACACTCTACTCTACTCTACTCTATGACATTCTATGATACTCTACTCTACTCTACTCTTGTCTACTCTACGACACTCTACTGTTCTATAACACTCTACTCTACTCTACTCTACTGTAGTCTATTGTACTTTACGACACTCTACTCTACGACACTACTCTATGACACACTACTCTATTCTACGACACTTTACGACACTCTCTTCTACTCTCCTCTACTCTATGGTACTTTCTTTACCGTTTCGGTAGTTTTGTTTGCGAGTGCAGCTGGCATCGCCCACACCGGACGCTAAGTTGTTCGTCAATTAAACTCAGACTTCGTAGCTAGTCTTAGGCTATTCTTTATTACGCTGTGATTCATTTATCCCCCCCCCCCTCAAAATATTCAATTTTCCCGCCGTTGGACCCCGATGAAGTTGGCGGGAAACCCCAGCGAAGCACCGCGACGACAGCCCCAATTGAAGACGAACCCCGACGACGGCTGTCCTCCGAGTCTAACGGTAACCGTTGCGACCTGTTGCCTGAAATCCCAACATTGAAGCCCGAAGATGTCCGTGCAGCCGCTGGCGGAACACCAATGGACCAGCCAGGAAAGGAAGTTGCTGACGACGCGTTCCTTCACCGCTCCGATTATCGCGGATCCTCGACCTCCGAGGAACCTCTAGGGCAACAAATGGCTGGGCCACAAGGATGCTACAAGGATTCCTCGAGGAAATGTTTTCACATTGTTTTCCAAAATTCTTCCCCGAGTATCACGTCCTTGTAGATTTGACGTGCCTGAGGACTGCCTGAGTGCATTCTCTTCATCGCCGGGCAGCCATGTATTTTCTCTCATCTCACAACCAGCACAACATTTCGCTTACCAGCACATCACGGTTTGAGCTCTTGACGTGTTTATTAACAGCCGCACCCGAGGAAGGTCCCACTCGTCGTTATCGACGGCCGATATCTTTTGATGCGTGCCCGGGGGACAACCGCCCTGCGAATTTTTGGACCGCAATCTTTTGGTGATCAAAAGGTGCTCCTTTTCCCGCTTGGTGATCCAGCGTGACTCATCAGCCTGGCTGGTTCGAAGGCCAGCGATCCTTTGAGCCTGAACCGTTGCGCGCGGTAAAGAGCGGGCAACTCTCCACGGTGCTACGACGGGCAACAGAGAGCGGGCAACTCTCCACGGTGCTACGACGGGCAACAACGTGCCGACGTGGTTAGGGAGGGCGCAGCGCGTGCGATGGAGTGCTGCTCCCTCTATAAGTGGCACGTGTCTCTCAATGGCGGGAGCTGCTACGGGATTCATCAAGAGACGACAGCCAGCTGGAGGCATCTGGGCCAAGTAGCGACCGGAAGCACGGGCACCTGCCGCGAGTTGCCCGGATCGAAAACGGTGTCCACGTTCCTGGCCCGCGAGCCGGTTGTCGTCAAGCTCGAGACAAATGGGCGCGCTTGCCCGACGCCTGCGACAGCTAGTACCGCCAGTAGGCGCTCAATTACGTCCACGAAGGATTCCGTTTCCTCATCCGGTCGGACCCTTGGTTCGCCCGCTTCAAGTCACGAGCCGCCAAAATGGCCACAATGCGAAAGTTGGAACCATCCCGCCTTGGCTTCGACTCGACGTCGTAAGTCACGTAACGGTATCCATTTGCTCAGTCGTTGCAATCGAGTCTCAAGTGGCTCCTCTGCAATTGATTCAAACGAAATGACCGTTACTGCGGTGAAGACGGCTAGAGGGGGACGGTCTTGGCGCTCGCAGCATCCCTGGCCTCATCAGCGAGCCGCGCACGCCGTGTGTTCGGTGTCTGCGCAGTCGTCAATTTCCGAGACGCCGTTGGGGTACACCGCAAGAACGTCTTGCCGAAGGCAACATGACGTGTCACGACGAGCGTTAGCCATGTCAGCCGTATACTCCCGGTGCCTCGGCGGAAGTTGTCTGTCCCATTCGACTCCTCGGATCATGACACTACCCGGAGAAGACATCTTAAAGGGTGCTCTGCGGAGAGAGGGAAGGACAAAGGATGGATGTGCGAATCCGATCGGATTCCCCGTTTTCCTGCTTGGGAATTCGAGAAGGCTTGCTGGCCATCTATGCAGAGGGACAGACAAAAGGACGAGAAAGGTGAGAGCAGGGGAGGAGGTGGTCGATACGGAAGACGTCGATCGGTTGCGGGAGGCAGAAGGAGAAGAGCAGCGCGTCGACGACGCGGCGGGCAAGCAGGCGAAGAGAAGCAGCGATGGCGGGAAACTATCAGGGCAATCCTCCTGGGACACTAGGAATGCGCAGGGTGAAGACTACCTGTACCGACTTGGCAAAGAGGCAGACAATCTGAATATCACTGTCGGAGCGAGAGCAGGAGTTATCGATGACCTGTTCGTGGGTGGATTTCTTGGAAAAGATGGTGAGTCAATTCCAATTTCTACACAACATCTCGATGTGGGGTAGAGAGAGCTTTTTTTAAATCTCAACTTCTCCACTGAATCTCCAGTATTTCTAAATTTGTAAATTGTAATCCAAGTAGGCACGGTACTGTCACGCAACGAGCAGCCAAAAATAAAAATAAAAAAAATAAAAAATTCTAGCAGCAGGATCACGCCGGGGACAAAGTTCCACTTGTTTACAACGATCGTCACCTACTCCGTTTCGACCGTAGATTACAATGATCGACGGCCGGAAACGGATGTTACAGGTCCAAGGAGAGAGACCTCGCCCGTGGACGATCGTCGCCTTCTCGAACATCGGTCAGCTGTCCTTTTGATGGGACGTTAGGACGGTAGGAGGCTTGAGATATGAGGACTATGGGTCTCGTTCGACACCACTAGAGAACTCTAAGAGTCTCAAGTGCACCCTTGTCGCCAAATCGCGATTAATTTGCACTACAGTTTTTTTTGGTTCCATGTGCACTAGACAAAATACTTGAAAGCGCTGCAGTTAAAACGGAAGCGGCGTCTGCAACCCCTGGCGCGTCGTTTCAGGAGTGCACAAGGTCCTCTAGTCTGGGCAGCCCCAAGGGTCCGACATTTGAACTCAAAGTACCTCCATGGGGTACCTCGAAGTGCGATTTTGCCCCGGCCGCACATGAGTTTCAATGGCATGCACTAGAGAGCCTGGATGTGAAAATGGAGGTACCTTGAGCTCAAGTGCGATTTTGCCCCGGCCGCACTTGAGTTTCAAGGGCATGCACTAGAGAGCCTGGATGTGAAAACAAAGGGGTGGAAGTAAGATTTTCGCTCCAACACTTGAGTTCACTTGGTGTCGAACGAGGCCCTATGACCCTTCACTAAATTAAATTTAAATAGATAGCCTGTTCCGTCCTTAACCGTTGTCTGTAACGAGGATCGACGAATCACATGCGTGCCGTAGTTACTTGAGAGCCAGTCTGTATTACTTTGTGCTATCCGCAGTAATCCTGAACGGATCTGACCACCTATGTGGTCACATGCAGTCAAGATCCTTTGTAGCCCTTGTGCTATCACCAGTACTTGAGAGCATTCTGCGGTCCTCTCTGGGCCTCTGAAAGCGTTTCGCATTTTATCATCAACGACAGGCACCCTGCTCAGTACTGGTGGTGCAGGGAATTTCTCCAGTTTTGTTGCGCACCTTGAGGTTCAGTAGGGTGCAGGGAATTAATTTGCACCTTGCTCAGTACTGGTGATATTGACACGGTGCAGACGTTGCTGAGGGCCGGCTTCCTCACATCGGAAGTATCATGAAGAAGGAAGAAAGACGTGTATGCGAGTGTGAGCATATCGAATCATTTACCACACAAAAAAACAAGGGTTTCCTTTTCGGCTGGTCTGCCGTTTCCGCGTGGAGCAGAAATGTTCCAATGTTAAAAAAAAAAAGAAAGTGTTCCAATGTCCTTCTGATCCATTCGGAAACGATATAGAGAAGATGTGTATGGCCTCTGTGCAAGGATGCCGCCCACAAGTAGAGAAACGACGAGCAGGCGACGATCATTATGGGTCACCCTTTGCAGGAGAGCTCTTTGAGATTGCTTTTCCGGGGCAAGGACTGATCTGCCAGAATAAGATGAAGTTGTCAAATCAGCTCCGGGACCCCCCGAAAATGCCATTTTCGCAACAGAACTGGAGAAATTCCCTGCACCCTACTGAAGCTCAAGGTGTGGAGAAATTCCCTGCACCGGCTATATCAAGGATTTGCAAGAATCAAACTCAGGGCATAGCTAGTGAAAATGTTATACCTGGCGGTCCCTAAGGGACTGAAGAGGCAACTGTGGCTTCTCGGTTATCTGTGCTCATCCTTGAGTATTATCATGGGTATTATCATGGGACGCTGGCCCCGGTTTCCAGCACAGTGACTTTTTCTGATGATCTCACAAGCTAAGCTGGCTGAGGCTGCCAGTGTGTCTCGTCCACTCTATTCTTCCGGGTAGACTGTCAGGACCCCGGCCTCAAATTCTATTTCTTGAGTAATACAAGCCTTGGGCACTGGGCCTGTTGTTTAAAAAAAAAGAAAAAGGGCATACTCACACTGCGATCCCAAATCGGCGAAGTATGCGGATTTGGGAAGGGCCGGTCTGAGGTTTTGGGCATGGTTCACGTTACACTGCTGTACCTTTTCAGATTAGACAAGCTCGCGGCCGTCTGGAGACATGGGGATTTGGAACTTGGCTGGTTGCACAGCGCCATCCACAAATTGAGAAAGAACTTTCCTGAACAAATTTTCACCAATTCTTGAAGAAGATGCGGGAAAAATAATAGGGCATTTGCCACGAATTCTCTTGCCCTGCGGCTACACAGGCCGCTGACAAATGGGCACACGAATGGTACATTTAGGACTTTGGCAAATCTGTGTGACCACACGAATGGTACACTGACTTTGGCAAATCTGTGTGACCACACGAATGGTACATTTAGAACTATGGCAAATCTGCATGACCACACAAATGGTACATTTAGGACTTTGGCAAATCTGTGTGACGGGTCCTCTTCCTTTTTTGGGGGGAATTTGGGATTATAGGTCCCAGTGTGAGTATGCCCTCAATGGGACCTTCCTTTTTTCCCAATTTAGGTCGTGTCCTTTGCACCTTGGCCCATGCATTGACTGCTTAGTCTGTGAATGGTAACCCATCTCTAAATGGGGCTCGGGCTCCAGTTGTCGGCCCAGCGTTTGGAAAAAAAGCTGCCAGTTAACACAGAGCCACGGGTAGGCTCGAATTGCAAGTTGGGAAAAGGCTGGCGGAGCGGTGTCTAATGGTCAATACCGTTGCTGCATAGCAACCAGCAATATTGGCCAAGGTCCTGCCAATGCTGGCTTGGGGGGGCCAACGGCTTATCTCTAGCTGGTAGAACACCAAGCATGCCCAGGCATGTACGTGAAGCCAATGGGGATTGAACCCATGACCTCCTGGAGGGGGAGATGCAAGTGACTGGCCAAAGATGCTCCGCACTAGAATCGCTGGTCTCCCCCGTCGGCAATGCCTGATCACCCTGCATCCTCGTGATGAGGGGCTGATACAAGCCTTGCTCTGGCACCACAGCTGTGGTACAAACCTACCCCATGGGCCTGGGAGAGTTCCAGGTTTGGTTGGTATTCCCCTGTACTATACATGGAGTAGCGAGAAGATGAGATAGATGACATAGATGCAGAATAATATAACATAGATAGATTGATAGAAGAATATAGATTTAGTAAAAAAAAGAGGGTTGGCGGAGCCAGGCAAATCACATGCCACAATGGTTCAGATTCTAAGGGCCGGGCAAAATCGAGCGTAGGAAAAATGAGGCCTCGCGGAACAACTGGTGGTGTCAGTGAAAAATTGGAGAGTTTTTTGCACCCTGTTGAATCCAAGAGAATCCGATATACAGTGCCAATGCCAAGGGCTGTCGTATCCCTTTTGGAAAGGTTTCCAACTTTCCATTGAATAGAATATAGCCAATAGTGAGGATGGGGCAATAGTGAGAATATGGGGAACCGGGACAGACATACAAATTTCATTTCCATTTGCTGTGTGACAACCTTCCCCTCACTGCACCCTTCACATTTTTTGAAAGCTTCACAAACGAGGGAACATTCCTCCGGGTCATCATTGGACTGTGATGACGATATGATTGATCTTCCTGTGATATGTGTAACGATGACAGTGAGTTAGAGGAGCTAAATGAACCCACAATGCACCTGGTCTGCATACGCAATGAGACAATCTTTGGACTCGTTTGCTTCTTCGTTTTTTCCCCACATAAGTTGTGTGAAGTGATTTCTCTGCCCTGTTCAGGCATTATTTAACTAGTGCCACAGTGACTTGTTGTGGTGTTCTCATGCAGTGGGACGGGAAGGTAGCGCGAGTTTGTAAGACCATACAATATGATACCCAAAAGTGCTACCCTTTTCCCCCGAGCGTCGTGCCCCATCATCATCATGATGACTGTATGTGCGTAAGCTGTCTGTCTGCTCCAATGCAGTCATGACCAAGGGCCTCCTGCCTGGGAGAAGAAGTAACCGTTTAGGGTCCTCTAGCTGAAAGGGTAGGTATTGCTACGTGGCCTGTCCACACTCCATCTGGGCTTCTCTACATTGCATAAAAGTTCCATTCCCTGCATCAATACATATTATTCCCAACGAGATTGATATGGGCGAAGCTCTTCCTGGCAATACATTGCGTCTGTTCGCTCTATAGATAAGCTTGGACATTACTAGACAGTCGTTACCCCTCAATTTGCTGTTCAGCCTTAAACCACCAGACTGAGTACCCTTCCCAGCCATTTTTACAGAGACGCAGCATGCATGCCGCCGCATCGGGCGGGAAGTACTGGGGTGCCATTTTGCGGCACAATGGGCACATCCATCCAGGCAAACGAGTCGCATGCGAGTCCCGTTTTGCCTGCATGGATGTCCAGCGAAACGGCCCTCCGCTGTTTCCCACCTGACGCCACAGCCTGCAGTGCCACGCCGTGTCTGTGGAAAAACGGCTGGGAAATGTACTGGTGGTTTAAGCCACCAGTATGTGGCCTGCGCTGGTATACGAGGGGGTTGTGTGTTGGTTTGCCCAACTGGACCAAATGGACTTGTGGCCTCCCATAAGCCCAACCTTGCGACAGTTCAGACATCCAGGCTCAGGCTCGAGTGAGGCGTCGCCATTTAGGTCCTGCTGAAAGATCTTGTTGTTTAATGGCATCCATGTATATGTAGTTCTGCTGCATGAGGTCTTGTTCACTGCACACCTTACCAGCGGTAGGCTGCCACACATTGTAAAAGAAGGGTGTTTTGTGCAGTGACCGTCATTCCTTTGAATTGAATCTTGAGTCTTGACCGCAGGTTCATCTTGATCGTCGCACAGAAATGTGTACCTGCGACTGCGAACTCCCATGTATGTCCCACATCTCCTAGTAGGGCCAGTACCCCTCTGTTTTGAAGAAGAGTTTTATGCTCCCCCTCCCA